TAATCTTCGATTTACAGTGTAAGATGTCTGGTCAATATCATCTTCTACAGGTTGTATAGGCTCATTCGGCACACTACTGGTGCAGTGTACTTTCATAGATCCCATCGCGTTTGGTTCTTTGAGTGACATATCATCTCTATGATGCATACTGCTCATTATCGTTAGCCGAACCTCAGATGGTAGCCTGCAACGTAACAAGAACCAGCTTTTTAGCATCCGTGCTACCATATGTTTCGACTGAAGGACCACCTTCAACACTCTCGGGCCACTTCCTTTTTAGTTCGGTGAGGTACGCAGTCGTGACACGGATTTCGCTAACACATCATCCAAGCAGAGTGTTTCACGAATATTAAACCACTGTTCTTTATCACTGGTTCTTACTTTTTGATCATCACATACTTCAATTTCAGGAACCCCTTGAAGAAGTATAGTTCTGCTTGAAATTTCCATCCGGTAGTCCTCTAAGTTGCGGTTAAATCGATAAAACTCGCCCCATGGGATGTCTGGAAAGATACGGATGGAGCAGTGTTCATTTCTGAGACTACCTGTCGACAGTAGTACTGATTGTACTTCAGTGATGGAGTACAGCACAATGCGCAGAAGTCTTGGCTCACCGAAATGTTCGGAGTTGGGGTGTCGTGTATTACGCGCTACCTGTACGGGTTTCAATACAACTCCGATTAGATTACTAATAATGGTCCACCGGTTGACGTCATCTAACTGTCTGCCTCTTATCCATGTCGAATTTGATTCTGGGATATTGGAGCACAGTGCGCTCAATACAGGTAGTTGTTTCTTTACACCTTTCAACGTGTCTCGGTTGGTGATTGAAGTTCTCGGAGATATGCCGCAGGAAACCGGTGGTGCTTGATTAGGAAAACACCGCTATGCTCCTCAGTTTCCGATCCAGTTGCGGTGATGTTAATTTTAAATGACGGCTCTTCTTGGAGGCAACCGTGACCAAACTTTCGCTACTACCGTCTTGCTCTTCTTATACACACTCCGTCGGGAGTTTGGAAGTATACCTACGTGTAGTTACTCAGATCGAACTGGGAACCGCTTTAGTCAAATGTAAGCTATGTGTGGTATTGGGACACCTGTTAATTTTCTGGAATCTAGGTGGCATGTTGCTTCCGATGTTATTAACAGTTCTTCGCGGATTAGGATCAGCAACCAAGGGGGAGGATTGGGTTGCACAGTCCGCTATGTTTACCCCAACCGTAGTGATTTTGGAGGTCATCGTTTCCTCTAACTTGGCTAGTAGCTGGTCACACTTCTGGGATAATAGGAGCAAGCCTTTTATCAGTGGGATTGATGTGCATTCCACACAGAACCATAACGAGTCTGGTTTGTTTAATAACTTTGCCTGACTAAGTTTAACTCGGAGGCATCTCGCATGGAAGAACTTGTAAAAGTTATGCCACAAAATGCCCTCCTTAACAAGTTTGGAACATGCTCCACATAGGTCTTTAGTCGCTGGCGCACTGGGCATCACGCTTGTTGAGCAAATGTTATGAACCATTTGAATGGTAAAATGTCGTTCTGTTATTGATGTTGTCGGTAAGGTCACAGTGTTCACGTTGCAGTTGTGTGCTTGGAGATTGTCTTCTCTGGCGTGCCAGTCGAATGTGTCAGCTTGAACGTGGGGCAGAATAGACGAAAGTGTGATTGATAATTCTCGTGGTTAGGCCTATGGATCGCGCCGGTTTAATTGGCTTTGAGAATTGTAGCTGCACAAATCTATGCTGGATTTGAACAAGTGACAGTTCGTTCGAAAGCCGTTAAAATCGTCTATCGAGTGAGACCAAACAATGTCTCCGGTGGTTGGAGTTAGGCAACTTTTGGCGCTTGGATATCAGCTAAACACTGCCCGGAATTTAGAAACCAGTTTAAATGTAGGACGCACTGAAGTATAATCGGGAAACTGATATCACAAAGTAGAGCTTGTGAAAGCACGACGATATGTATGGATCCAAAGTTGTGCGAAAAATGTCGCTGAACCCCAGTTAAAAACCACGAGTGCACAAGTGAGGGATTTGCACGCTCCAAATAGAAGGTACCGAACTGGTGTGGAACGATTGCTTGGAAATGGGCTTGTCGACAGGAAAGAAGTGATGCTCGGCATTTGCGTGTGAGTTGGAATTATATAATAAAAGGCTAGCAACGCAAGGTGAAGGAGGGTCAAAGATCTGGGGGTGCGTGCAAATTGAGGACATAATTAGAGATGCAATTAAACGATAAGTGTGAAACGGCATAAGAGAGGAATAAGAGATGTTTCGGCTTGAGCATTAGCATGCTAACCTCCGTCCACCCTGTTTGATGCAGCAAATAGGGCGCCGTTTATTATCCCTGCGACAGCCAGTGCATCGTGAAACTGCTTGAAGAGAAATTCATTGTACTAGACCTTACCGTGGTGCGATGGTTTGAGTGTCTCAGAGATCCATTGAGCTATGCTGGGTGGTGATTTTTTTGCACCATCATAGCCACTGATACCAGATTGGTCAATGGTTAGAGGCCAGACAGCTTCAGCCTCCTTGTCCATTAGGTTGGAACTTGGAATGGGGGTGGCTCCTCATTTCATAAAACGGGCTCTGTAGTCCAATGCCAAAACCCGCTGCCATGAGGTAAGGTTTTTGAACGAAAGGCTTTGGTTGAGAACCCTAATCGTTCTCCTGTCTAGGCTTGGGCAACCTGACAATATTCGGCCAACGCAATACAATGAAGCTTTCCTACAATAAGTTATTGATGCTCTGGCCGTCGCAGAGTATAATAAACGTTGCCCTATCTACTGCATCGAGCAGAGTGGATAGGGGAATGGATGCTACTGCTCAGTCCTTCCCGTCTTCTTATATTCCTTATTGCGCTTATTCATAATTATCGTCCAGCTCAATTTTACTTATATCCCCTCATTTCCAATCCCCTAATTATTGGCACGCCCACAGCTAACTTCAGTAGTCGCTTGTCTCGTAATTTCAAATCACACAAAATCGCAGGGCCTCGCTCCAATCCAGTAGAAAAGTCCATGTTCAACCAAGCGGACAACGTCAGTTCATCCGTTTCCTTTGCAGTTCTGATGTCTCACTAAGACTGGCATGCTTCAACGGGCGCCCCTCGCTGCAGATTGGCTAACAGGCAGCACTTGCCCGCAAACTACAAACCCTATCGGTCGATATCCGCTGTTTATCAGAAACGCGCCTGCAAGATTCGAGCTCTGTGCTTACCCTGAGACCCACCACATGCGACACTGGCGGCACATCCTCTTTGCGCCTGTCTAGCGATGATGCAGCTTCAAATGCCGGTCAAGCTGGCGTCAGTATTGTTTCAAGTCCTCCGCTGAAGCTGCCCTGATTGATTGGATCCCAGTAAACAGTAGAATGTGCGCCGTTAGATAAGCTGGTTCGTTCTGTGCTACGAAGTCGGGCGGGGACAAACGGTGCCTGTTTATCATTGCGGCCTATGTCCCTACAAACTGTAGCACTGATTCGGTAAAAGATGATTTCTATCAGCAACTTCACGAGCTCCTTCGTTACAGTGATGTTTGCTGGCGACCTAAACGCCCAAGTCGGAAAATTGTCCTCCGATGAGCTTTATCTGGGCGGCCAACATGGTGTATGCTCCCGTAATGATAATGGTGAGCGGTTGCTACATCTATGTGAAGATGCTCGCCTCTTTCTCGCGAGCACTAACCTTCGACACAGCACCCGCAGAAGTGTAACTTGCGGCCACCAGCCTCGGGCCAGCCATGGACGCAAATATATCATATCGCGATCAGTTACCGCTGGAGAGGCTTTGTCCAAAACTGTAGCTGATTTCGATCGCCTCTAAATTGCTTGCCTCCACAGAGTGACAGGCATTCGTGAAAGTCAGATTCGTGAAGAGCAAGCCGGATTTCGTCGACGTAGGGCTGCATCGACCACATCTTCACCTTGCGTCAAGCGTTGGAGCACCGCCATGTTTATTGGCAACCCACCGTTGTCGTGTTTCTTGACAT